GCCTAAACCTTCCAAATTCAGCCTAAACCAAAGCTTCTAGTGATGCCAGGTGTGTTGAACAGGATGCTAGGCGTGATGTTGACTGTGCTGGTGTAAAACTGGTGCATCTTGTGAGGAACTACTAGCCCGCCGAACCCAGGGAAGAAAAACGCCCGCCGAACCTGAGATTTGTTTTTTAAACCTTCCACCAGCTCCACAAAAGCACGCCGGCCTTTGGACCATAAGCAAGGCGCAACAGGCGGTTGCGGAGCAGCTCTGCGAGGCGGAGCCGGGAGCCCCAGCCCCAGGCCCCCAGCCCCAGGCCCCCGCGTTCCCGGCGTTCGATGCAATAGAGTCGCTCAGGTGGTCAGTTGGTCGGTATCTTGGTTGGTTTTAGTCAGTTTTATTTGTTTGTTTGTTTGTTTGTTTGTTTGTTTGTTTGTTTGTTTGCCTGCTTGCCTGCTTGCCTGCCTGCCTGCTTGTCTGCTTGCCTGCTTGCCTGCTTGCCTGCTTGCCTGCTTGCCTGCTTGCCTGCTTGCCTGCTTGCCTGCCTACCTGCTTGCTTGCCTGCTTGCCTGCTTGCCTGCTTGCCTGCTTGCCTGCTTGCCTGGCCTGCCTGCCTGCCTGCCTGCCTGCTTGCTTGCTTGCTTGCTTGCTTGCTTGCTTGCTTGCTTGCTTGCGTCAAACATGCCCTTTTTCGCAGGACATGACTGGCCAACTTTGGTGAGCTTCAGCTTGCCAGGAGTGCAAGAGACTTTGCTGGGTCGCTTTAAGTTGAGGGAGATCTGTTAGTTGGAGTTTTGTATGGTAGCGGAGCCCGACAGAGCTTCAGGGATTGAACCTTGGCGTAGGCGCACATGTTATTGGGGATGACGTTGGAGAGATGGCTGGCAGACTCAGGTTGCCCTTGCTATTGCCATCCGCATACAGTGGTTCCCCATCGGAGTGTGTGTGTGTGTGTGTGTGTTTGTGTCTGTGTCTGTGTCTGTGTCTGTGTCTGTGTCTGTGTCTGTGTCTGTGTCTGTGTCTGTGTCTGTGTCTGTGTCTGTGTCTGTGTCTGTGTCTGTGTCTGTGTCTGTGTCTGTGTCTGTGTCTGTGTCTGTGTCTGTGTCTGTGTCTGTGTCTGTGTCTGTGTCTGTGTCTGTGTCTGTGTCTGTGTCTGTGTCTGTGTCTGTGTCTGTGTGTCTGTGTCTGTGTGTCTGTGTCTGTGTCTGTGTCTGTGTCTGTGTCTGTGTCTGTGTCTGTGTCTGTGTCTGTGTCTGTGTGTGTCTGTGTGTGTGTGTGTGTCTGTGTGTGTGTGTGTGTGTGTGTGTGTGTGTGTGTGTGTGTGTGTGTGTGTGTGTGTGTGTGTGTGTGTGTGTGTGTGTGTGTGTGTGTGTGTGTGTGTGTGTCTGTGTGTGTCTGTGTGTGTCTGTGTGTGTCTGTGTGTGTCTGTGTGTGTCTCTGTGTGTCTGCGTGCGTGCGTGCGTGGGTGGGTGGGTGTGTGTGTGTGTGCGCGTTGTGTTTGTATTCGTTTTTTCCGGTTTGCTTTGCCTTCTCCAGGTTGGAGGCGCAGAACTGGCGGCTGCGGTGCTTTCAGGCGGAGGCGCAGAAGGGCCTTGCGAGCTGCAAGTGGAGGTGTCCAAAGGTCTGGTTGCTTTCCCCGTCTTTGCGCGTGGGATGTATTAAGCTGCTTCGAAATGTGTCGGATGGGTCCCTAGTTGCAACGCAAGTTGGATGGAGCCTTGGTGAAATCTGGGTTGATGGGTTCGAGAGTGGCAGGCGCAGCTGCGGCTGCAGCGGCTGAAGCGACGCGGGGAGCAGCACGCAAGGCCGGCCTGATGGGTTCGTGACCGTTTCACTGCGGGAATTCCGCGCATGGCAAGTTTATGAAACATCTACGGCCTTCAGACCGATTTTTTGCCGCCTGCATCCAGGTGGCCCAAGACTGCCACAGAGCGGCAGCAGCTGCTGGGTACCCGCGCCTCCCAGCAGGCGATGCGGAAATTTGGAAGCTTGCAACGCCACGCTTGAACAGTCTTAACAATATTATTTGGCTGTGTGCCAACTTTCGGGGCGCCTCTTCGATCCAGGATTCCCCAATGCTATGAGATGTTTCTCCCTCATGATGTGGCCTCATCTTAGGAAACGAAAGCGGCGCCAGCCAATTGATACAGCCGCCAACTCGTTTGACGATGGCTGGCAGTGCTTTGTTCCTGTCTTGCTGCTCGCTCCATGTTCGGCTGTGAAGACGCGGGCGTCAAGTCTTGTGGGCATCCCTTGCCTATCCCTTCTCTCGCTCAGGGCTTGGACGTGCAGAGCATCAAGCAGGCCAGGCCATGTGAAGTCACTTGCTGGTGCTCAGCAGGGAATGAGAAATGGAATGACCCCTATAAACCATCCCCTATGGTTTGCTTGAAGGGAATCTCCAGGTTTATTGCCTCATTCCCTACCTATCGCCCCAGCAAGAAAAAACTGGGACCCTGCGCTCGGGATCCTTGGATCGGCCAACCGGCTGAGGCCTTGGGTGGGCTGGTGCAGGCGAAGGCGACGCTGGGATGTCTCGAGGCTGGGAAAGAGCCATGGAACCGGCTTGCGAACCGGTCGCCTGCTCCGCGCGGAACAAAGAGGTGTTGACAACGGTCGGAGCTCGGAGTTTTCGGGGGAACTCCAGTTTTCTGGTAGTTGACCATTTTGTGGACTGGGGGAGCGTAGAACATCCGCACCATTTGACCAGGAGCAGTTGCAGCAGACTTCGGAAGAGGTGGAGAGATGCTGCAAGGATGCGAAGGGAGCGAATCCAGCCTTCGCTGTCAGCAGTTGCCATGTCTCGCGGAACACGTGCCGGTTTCCTGCAACCTGCATACTGCCAGTGGCCATGTCATGGGATTCTGGTGCTGGCGTGGCAGTCGCCAGAGTTCCATGGTACAGAAATGAGCCTTCCTAAGCCTAACCTCGAGAAGCTTGCACCGTGTCAGTCTACATCCGCACGAGCTTCCACGCCACCTGTGCTTTGCTTGATTGTGTTTCAGTGTTGCACCCACCGAGCTGTTGGATGTTGGGGCTTTGTCCCAGCATTTGGCGTATCCGTGTCAGGAGACGTTGCAACAGCATGACCTTGCTAGCATGCCACCTGCCTGCAATGCACGTGCAAGGTCGGGGAAGCTCACTTGATATGCTGTGCAAGCCGAGTGTGCAGGGGTGGAAAATGCCAGTGGTAGCATGCTTTGCATGATTTTTCAATGTGCTTAGACAAAGTCCAAATGAATCAGTGAGATGTGATGATTGCTTTCATGTGTTGATTTCAGCAGACATAGGAACATGTTTAAACATCACTTGCCTTATCATTGAAGCATTGCTTGCCACTTCAAGCCGTGCACATTCTTGCACCGCCAAATGCTCGCCCAAGGCAGGCCAGCGAAGATGCTTCCTTTGCCCAGCGTGAGCTGGAGCTCACCCAGGGCAAGGAGCCATTGCGCACGTCGCCGGCTGGCCGGCCAGCTGACCACACGGCATGCATGCGTGCCCCGTCCGCCATCCTTGCACACGTGCGTGCGCGTGCACGCCCACATGCCCGCACCGGGGTCTGCAAAGAAGCAGGGCCCAGTTCGACAACAATGAAAGTCACGGGCGGTGGGCACTCCGCAAATTTCAGAGTCGGCGTTTCGCCCGAGATGGTTGCAATTCCTTGTGAAACACGGAGCAGCAGCGGGTGTCCCAAGCTTGGCAAACATCAGACTCATGATCAGCTTTGGATTGGCGCACAGCTGTTTGGAGCACTACCCGCTTTGCACACCTGGAGAGGACTTTGAAAGCTTGAACTTGCTGGGCGGCGCTTGAGTTGCACTGCGCATTCGCGGAAGACTGAGACTTCCCTCAAGAAGGCCCTAAAGCGCCATTCAATTCATCTAAAGGCGTAAAGCGCAATTTTTAAAGCTAAACATGTGCCTGCTGAGGCCCTTTTTGGGTTATGTGCGGTGCAACGCCACCAGCTAGCTCTGAAAAGCAAGCCTTCACCACATAGCAAGGTGTCACATACAGCATCAGAAGACCAGCTACAGGCAATGCTGAAGATGTTGCAGGGAAGGCCAGCAGCAAATTGCAGGCATCAGGATGTCCGATTTTTGGACCCCGTTAAGTGTCGGGTTTGATTTTTGGACCCTTAGCTGCAAGCGATAGGAGGAGGAAATCCAATCTTGCAGTATTTTGTGGAGTATTTTGGGCCCCTTGAGATTGTGAGGAGAGGGTGCAGGAAATGGCTAAGCAGCTGCAGCAGAGGCACAGCCAGACGCCTGTCTCAGTCGTACAGATTACTTGAGGCAGCCATGATACATGCAGGATGATGCTGTTTAGCATGTTCGTTGCCTTGCAACCAATGTGCCTGTTTCTCAACATGGATCAAAATTAAACCACCAATAAACCGCAGGTTTTAGTCCTTGTTGCCATTTATCAGGGCTCCATTTTGGTTACCTACTCTTGACCCACACCCATATTGCATCAACAAGCTTCTCAGACTCTCATGACATTGTTCATGCGCGTTTTTGCGCCACCGTGCCTCCGGGTCGCGGCCAGTTTTGTTCTTGAGAACGAGCTGGCAGAGCAGGCGCAATGAACTTGTATGCGCAGCCTCTCAGCTGACCAAGTGTTGCGGCTTTTGAGATGCTACAGGTGTGCAAGTGCTGTGATTGCTGAATTGAGTTGAGCGCGCCAGTCGCACCGCGCAGTTTTAAGCTTCAATCCAAAGCACGTTTGGAGAATCGGGGTCACCTGCTGCGCCCACGCATCATTTCCTTCCCATGCTGAGTTGGCAACATGGCGTGCCCTTTCTTTGTGACATGCCGAGTTTACCAACAGCCTCTTTGCGACATGCCACACCTTTGGGCAGCGCGAAGTTTGGCTCTGCTCAGGAACTCACTAAGTCGCTTCGCAAACTATTGTAACACGAGACACGCGATGATTCTGGTTCTTCCCATTTCCTTGCCGAATGATTTGAAGCGAGTCAGATCCCCCAGTGAAAGTCGTAGCCTGTCGAAGTCGTTGCCATGGACAGCCGGAAGGATCTCACGAAGCTTCTGGTGCCTTGCCTTGGGCATCAGTGGCCATACGCATGGCCTGGGTCTGATTCTGTAGGATGGCACCTGAGTCTTTCTCACGGTTGGTGTTGTTCGGCGTCAGAAACCTGGCGGTTTCAGGTAGACAGGTTTCACACTCTTTTTTTTTTGAGAGGCAGGATGAAGGTACCAGTCTTTGACGCATTCAATTCCGTGGCACTGCGCGCCTTCGCAGCTTCGCAGTTGCAGTTGAGCGCAAGCCGAGCCACACCAGTAAAGAGCTGCTGTCCATGTCACGGGCAATGGCAGATGTCCAACTCCAGACCGATGTGCAGGCAGATGTCTACCGTGCTTGCCTGCACCTGATTGTGCTTTCCGGCGCCTGCGCGTGCTTTCCTGCACATGCCTGCGCTGCATGCACCTACCCCTGCCAGCTTGCGTGCAGGTACACCGAAGAGCACGCAGACTTGAGCGCAATTCGTGCTGCCTGCTACTCACGCAGTCCCGCAAGTGTGGCCGGATTCTTCGATTGCGTGCAGCGTGTTTCGCATCGACCCGCTTGTTCCTTTTTTTAGGTATGCCTCGTAGCTTCAGTCTGAGTGCTTCCTGCTGCCTGCCGGCGTTGCCCAGTCAGGATGCTGCAAGTACCGGAGAGTCTGCAGGCTTGCTGCCAGAAAAGCGAAAGCATCGTGTCGTGTGGCTCGCAAGTGCGAAGCGCAAATTTGAGACCAGCGACTTGGCGCGCTCGAGTCGACCCGAAAGGAGTGTAGCTGTTGGTAGGCGGTCGGCCGAATTGGCCCAGAGCCATGCACATAGTGTTCAGCTCGCCTTGGCGCTTGACTGCCCAGAACACCCCGCGAGAGCATTGGGTTCACGGTCTATTCTGTCACGGCTGTCGGCTCAGCCTGGCTGATGACTCGCGTCCGGTCTGCCACACCCGTCAGGTTGGGCCTGTGGATGTTTGCCCCAAGTCTGGGAAGCTTAATGTTGAACTGGGGAGATGGCTTCAGACATAGCAAGTTTGGCTGCTTGTTCTGACTGCAAGGAACTGATCCAGAAGTGGAATGACATCTCCTCGGTGGTGGTTGTTGTGGCCTGCGTCTGGGCCGTCCTCCGCAGCAACATCACCTCAAGGCTGGGGAAGTTGCCACATAAGGACATGTTCTAGCTTTTGTGGGTTGGCGGGCTTTGTTTGTTTTAGCCAACATTTTCAGCTGGCTGTTTGCATCGGAAAGCTACACTACCAGAGAATGACATTCAGAAGCTTTGCGCATTTCATTGCTTAGTTTCAGCCAACTGCAATCAGCCCGATTCGTGTTTCCTTGAAACCCGAAGACACACAGATTGAATGACCCGGAGCTCAGAGGGATGTTCGAGCATAGCCTTGCGCACTTGACACGTGGGCTTGGGCCCGATCGCTTTGCTTCGGGGGCTGACACTGCATCACACCTCACAAAGTCTGCCTATCACAAGTGGCGTTTTCAGGACACACACACACACACACAATCATCATAGCTTCGCCACCACGGTGCAAAATTGAATGTCACATGTACAATATTGTAGTTGCAGAAGGTAAGAAGATGTGCAAGGTGTGTCACCAACAGTTGGGGGGTTGTGCGGATTTTCCGACAGCTGTTCTGACTGTGAATCGAGTGCTCGTTAGGTATGGGATGTAGCTGGCAGTGCCCCTTGTTTGGCGAGGGCAGTCTTTGCCGAGGGAGGTGAGAGCCAATTGGCATTCATCTCACACATCTCCTGGGCGCCCGCGAGGTGGAGCGTCAACCACACTGCCAGCGAGGCGGCGTTTGAGGACTCCCAGAGATACTTCGAATGGGCCTGCACGGTAGCAGGCAGAGTTGCAACGGGATGGGTGCGGGATCCCGATGCATGTAAGGCGCTTGCCCTCTTGCGCCATGCTCTTGATTCAATCATGGCGCGGCAACTTGAAAGACGCGCTGAGGGAAGCGGACGCAATCGCGTTGTCAGAACGAGTCGCACTGATCTGCCACTGTCGCGCCGACTATTATCAATCCAGGTCGGTCAAAAGATGGGCAGGACTTTGTAAGGCATGGGCACGTGAGAGACTCTACTGCGAATTCGGGCCTATCCTGCCTTTTTGGGGTGGCTGAAAGACTACATGTATACAAACGACATGTGCAAGAACGAACCACAGCAAAGAACTTGGGCGTGTTTGATGCAGCTGGAGCATCAGATTGTCGTTTTTGAGGGTACTCCTTTTTTGTACTGGTTTACAGGGAACTCAACGGAACCCACCCATTTTTTGTTGATATTTCTTTTTTGGAGGTAGACCCACATTGTCATGATGGTGACACTGTCGTGGGCAAAATCCTGCACCAGTTTGGACCAGTTTAGCTGGTTTATCCCAGTATCTCAGGCTTTCATCCCTGGTGCAGGTTCTTATAGCTCTTGTTCCAGTCGAGAGCGTTTCGCGACTTTCTGCCAGGCACCGGGGCAGTCATTGAAGGGACGTACCTTCTGAGCAGCAGCGGGCGCCCACGGCTGCAGTGGTTTCTTTGGAGATCGGAGATCCTCATCAGGGCAAGATCGGCTGCGTAACCATGTGAATCCCGCTCACTTTTGGTGTTTGGGTTTTCGCCTGCCGTTTTGTTTGGTGGATGCTTTCAGCTGCGCTTAGGCGGGAGAACAGCGTCACAGGCACACACTCGGCGCTGGACAGCAAGGTGATGTTGCTGATTTACGTCTCTTTGTCGAGCCTTGCCTTGAAGGGACTCCTTGGGCAGTGTGAATGTGCGACTGGGCTTTAAAACCCAGGGCCAGCCTCAACAGATGTGAGGGGGTTCTCCATGAAATGCAACGCGGCATGGGGCCCATGCCTTTCGCAAACGGCATGGCAACCTATGCTCATTCCTATGTTCATTCTTCGGCGAGGTGAGAGATTCAAGCCGAATTTTGCTGGAGCAACTTGCCGTTGGGGTTGCAACTTTCCACGAACCCCTTGCTTCTCTGGCCGAATTCCCGTGCCAAACAAAGAGAGACAGTGGACAAAAAACTGGTCGAAGGGAATGGGAGCCAAAGATTTCGAAGGTGACCCCCACGTTTTTCCCCGTTTTTCCGAGTTTTGAAGGTGGCCCACCTTTGCCCTGTTTTCCCGAGGTTCTTCTACATGGCCATGTCCTTGACAGGCATGGTGCTAGTGCACAGTGACGAACTGGCGGTGGGCGGGCCTCGGCCCGTCTATACCCTGCGCTTTGTGCAGTGGTGTGCCTGCGTACCGCTACTCATGCTGGCAGCTTGGCTTTTTCTGGGCTCCTTGTTTCAGATGGTCCTTCATAAATGCGCTGCAAAGTAAGCTTGTGCGGTTCTTCTTGTTGCTTCTGCTACGCTTGTGGTTATGGTTGCCATGCCAGAAGTTGTAATCTGCGTTGCTTTTGGGTGTCAAAGCGAAATGAGAAGACGCCATCTAACTCTAGACCACCAATCCGAACCACCACTTAAAGGCAAGCCGGTTGCAAGTGCCAAAGTGGTCAAGGGCACCAAATATGGACTGGATTTCGGCGGCTGAGTGCCTTTTGGGGGCGTGGCAGAGTACAGGTCACAGCTTTGTACCGATCCATGACCGTCACCTTTCAGCATCGTCAAGCAAGTTTCGAATGGCATTTTCTCATTTGCTGCTTGAAGGAGCAAATGACCAGAGTTTTGCAGCGGACAGCACTCTGTGATTTGGTCTACTTATGGCTTTTTGTGCAATCGAAGACCACGGTTTTTATGGCATTCGAAAACCACGGGTTTTATGCAGCTCTCCCACGGAGACCGACCCCTATTGCGGGTCGTCCCCTTCTGCGAGTTTGCATCCCTCGAGGTGGGAGGCAGACACCAGCCAGCACCCTCCGAGGTCGAGAAGGCGAGTTTGATTGAGCTGGGACTTCAAAGACCGAATCTTTTTGTTTTTTAAATCTATTTTCTCCTGAGGGGTTGACAACCGTTCGGCTGACTCAAGATGCCTGAAAGATGCCAGCGCTTGGGGGTTTGTGCAAATGAGTCACAATCAAAGCCCGGGTAGATGAAGGTTAGTAAGGGACGATCCCAGCAATAAATAGTTGCGGCCGCCTTGGTATTTCCTTACATGGTTCTGGTTCAATCATTTTAATACCTGGTTTTGATTGTGACGCAAATGTGTTTTTATGCTGGGCTTGATCCCTTTGGCGGAAGGTGCTCTCCGAACTTCTGCTGCACCCGGTGCAGTCCAAGCCACGACCACCCAGCTGGCAAGATGCGCTGGAAGGTGCTTGCGATGGGGCGCCTCAGAGTGTGAGCAAGCAAGAGTGTACATCTTCGGCGCATGGCAAGTCAGACTCGCAATCTGATTTTGCGTCATTTAGGTGTCCATTAGGTTCGGAAATGGCTTGTTTGCGTGTCGCACGAGCCTTGGCCAGGACTCCAGGAGTTCCCCACCACCCTGAAAAAGGCGCGGGTGCGAGCGATCTGTTTTCCGGAGTCCCAAGCGAGGCATTGTGGCGGGCGCCGCTTTTCGCTGGGACCGTTGAGCCCGGCTTTTGCCAGGCGCTCTGGGATGCCCCCTTGGCAGCGTCTGTGCGGCTCACCGTGATCTACATGATTGCAGCCTGGTGCCTTGCCAGAAAGGCTTGGGGTCAATGAAGTTCTGGCAGATTCGCTCTGTGCGGACCGAGCTTGTTATGTTAAAGGACGGACGGCGCTTGGCCAGCGAGCATTTTCATGGCCGGGGCCAACTCCGTTGCATGTGAAACACGAGGTTTGCGGGAGAGTCGCAGAGTGAGTTCTGAGCATGCGGCTTCTCAGCTGATCCTGTCGCCGCCAAGGTTGGCCCTGGTTGTTGATGATGACCTGAGCCGCTGGGTGCCTTTGGCTTGAAGCGGGACAGGTGGGAAGGCATTCATGACGAGGGCCGTGATCCAGGACGGACCACTTCCTAGCTACAACATGCCTAATGTTGACCCCGGATCAATAAACCCCTGTTTATTAAATTGGGGGTGTTCCCCTCAAAAAGTGATAAATCTCACTAAAACCAGGGACACCCCCATATGAATAAGCAGGGGGGTTCCTAGTCCGGGGAGCTGGCGCCTAAGGCTGCGACCAGGGCTCAGATCACAAACCTCCAGAGCGGGCGGACCCCAGAGAACAACGCCAACAGTAAGAACCGAAGACGACGAGGAACAGCGTGCGAAAGGAGAAAATATCTGCGATCCGGGACAGACCCCACACCCAAAACTCCCAAGCACCCAAACACGCAAACAAGCAAGCATGCAAACACACAAACACGCAGACGCGCAGACAAACACGCAAACACGCAAACACACATACACACAAAACACAAACACGTAACCACGCAAACGCGCAGACACGCACAGCAACACACAGATGCAAACACGCAAATATGCAAACACGCAAGCACGCAAACACACAGACACGCAGACACGCAGACACGCAAAGACACACAAGCACACGCAAACATACACAATTGGCCCGAGCTTGCGCTGAGGTGTTGATTTGCGTCGCTTTCTCTGCTTACTTCGTTGCATCGCTGCAGCAACTTGCCATGCTAGTGGTGATGAAGAACGAGCAGGCACAGCTCCGGTCACTCCAATGATTCTTGTTGGGCTGTGTTTTGAGGGTTTTAGCTGCATTGAGGAAACCGTTGAGAAAGCGCTTGAAGACTTTCAGTGATGAAGCGCCCGAATCGCCGTTCATCGTGGCGCACCCTGTTGTCTTTGATTCATTGTGCCATGGATCGGTGGCACAGCAGATGCCCGATTTGCCAAGATGTGTTTGTGCTAAACCCACTATGGCGTCATCAAGGAGGGTTGACAAGGCGAACAACAAACGCGCCGTGCGCGGAAGCTTCTTGAGGAAAACCATCATCAGATAGCACGTCGGCGCAAACTTGGCCAAGGCACTCAGGCATTCGGCATTCGGCAGATCCAGGAAGAGAGGTTTCGGGTCTCCCACCTGCCACCTTGCTATCCCATGGCTGTTGTTGGGACACATTTTACATTTTTGCTTATGGTGGTTTAGTGGGAAATCCCCACTTAACTGCTAGAAAATATTTTTTTGCTCCCCTTCCAACGTCAGCCAAGAAATCCGGCAGGGCCACTGCATCTGCGCTTGGCTGATGGCGTTGCAAGTGCTGATCTTCGCAGGGCACGGGACTGTTTACTTGTGCGCCGCCTGGCACGCAGCTGCGCAGCTTCGGAGAGAATCGGGGAGCCCATGTTCCATAACCCGGGCACTCACTAAAGCAAATCGCATCAGCCTGAACAACATGCCTCTCCAGGAGTTCCGTACAAAAGTTGCTTGGCATGTTTGGTTTGAGCAATCCTCCCTCCTGAATATCAGCTTCCGAGCACATCAAGACATGCGTGCGAATTGTTGGACAATGGCAGTCATGTGCTGAGACGCGTGGCGATCCCTCGACATTTCAACTCCCAACGCCGTGTTTCTAATTTGCAGTTTGTTGGTTCTGCGAGTTGCGAGAACTCTCCGAAGAGCAGAGGGCGGGCAAGGGCCTTGTTTCGCTGAACTTTAGCGCAATGCCGACCTTTGGGCTCTGTGAGGCCTGCTTCAACCTCATCTCCTCGCCAAGAGAGCAGGCCCAGGGTCAAGCTTGGAGGTGTGCCCCTGGCCGTCCGTGGTGGCCTCCAGTTGAATGATTGTTGAGCTCAGCCAATTCGGTACCATTGGCTCTTGCTTTGCTTGGGAACTGTCAGCCTGAAGCTTGCGTACAGCCTCAATTTTGCAAGCCTTCCGTTTTTTGTTGCCATTTCGTGCGTGTTTTCCGTTTTCATTTGGCGCTCGCGTGCGCCAGAAGCTCTTCGCTTGCTTGGACATCTTCGCGAAACTGGGGCACACCATGGTGCTGTTGACTTCGAGGCGCCGGGCCGACTACCTGGAGGATCGGATCAGTTTTTCGCAAGACCACGGCTCGTGTTTTTGTGGTTTGACGGGAAGCCAAAAAGGAGAACGCTGTCCATTTTACAGGGCCGCGCAAATACACACACACAGACACACAGACACACAGACACACAGACACACACAGACACACAGACTGTCTGCACAAACACACAGACACACACACAGACACACAGACTGTCTGCACAAACACACAGACACACACAGACACACAGACTGTCTGCACAAACACACAGACACACACACACACACAGACACACACACACACACAGACACACAGACACACACAGGCACACAGACACACAGACACACAGACTGTCTGCACAAACACACAGACACACACAGACACACACACACAGAGATACACACAGACACACAGACACACACACACACAGACACACAGACACACACACACAGACACACACAGACACACACACACACACAGACACACAGACACACAGACACACAGACTGCCTGCACAAACACACAGACACACACAGACACACACAGACACACACACACAGATACACACAGACACATAGACACACAGACACACACACACAGACACACACAGACACACAGACACACAGACACACAGACACACAGACACACAGACACACAGACACACAGACACACAGAGACACACAGACACACAGACACACACAGACACACAGACACACAGACACACACAGACACACAGACACACACAGACACACAGACACACACAGACACACAGACACACAGACACACAGACACACAGACACACAGACACACAGACACACAGACACACAGACACACAGACACACAGACACACAGACACACAGACACACAGACACACAGACACGCAGACACACAGACACGCAGACACACAGACACACAGACACACAGACACACAGACACACAGACACACAGACACACAGACACACAGACACACAGACACACAGACACACAGACACCCAGACACACAGACACCCAGACACACAGACACACAGACACACAGACACACAGACACACAGACACACAGACACACAGACACACAGACACACAGACACACAGCCACACAGCCACACAGCCACACAGCCACACAGACACACAGACACACAGACACACAGACACACAGACACACAGACACACAGACACACAGACACACAGACACACA